AGGACGAAAGATATACACACACAGGTTACAAAGGACAAAAGAAATCTTGTTGTTTTGTCTTAGTAACTGTTTTACTGCATTTGCAACATGATTAGGTCATATAAGTACTGAGGATAAGAGGTGTTACATGAGAGTAACAAACATAACATGTTGATGGTGGCATAAAATCACCAACATTTTTTTCCCAAAAATTAGCCTGTCTCCTAAATGACCAAAATGTGTCAATGAGGCTTTAACACTTAAAGCACCGAAGGCTCATACAGTGAAAAACCCTCAAGTACCGCAACAGTTTAGAACGCTGAATCCGTGACAGAATTTTTAGAAAATTAAAAATAAAAACCTTGGCAGCCCAAGAGACACCCTTTAAAAATTCATAGAGATTCGTCAACCATTCAGCTATTTTATTATACAGAGTGACTTCCTTTGGTATTTACTTCAGTGCAGTGCGCCCATTCGTTGTTTAATTATGTTAAGTGTGCCTGGTCCCGTCACGGACTAAAACCGCCAGTGGTAGTGAGCGCATACTACGGCCTGGCCACTAAAGTCACCGATGGTTAAGTTAAGTAGTGTTGTTCCCGCATCCGATCCGGACATTGTGGATTGCCTTGTGTTAGTGAGACAACTTCCTGGGCCTTCGACATATTGTGGTAGGGTGGTCAGTTCCTTTCCACGCCGCCTTTACTTCCTCAACTTGAAGTCAGGTACCTATTACTGCGGGGTGGGCAGGAGGGGGCGAAAAAAATTTGTGCCCAAACCAAGGCTCGAACCTGGACTTTCCACTTCGGAGACGAGCGCACTAACCGCTCCGGGCAATACTGTAAGAGTTAAAAGCCCAATAAAGCCGGCACGCACCTGTATCAAGAAGCAGATGTTGCTGCCGTCCTGCATGGCTTCTTCCGACTTGCGCAAGGCCTTGAGCATGACCTTGAAGTAGGTGTGGTCCTCTCGCTGGCGGCCATCGTTCTCCGTCTTGTGGCAGTTGCGACAGCGGCCCACGTTGCGGGAGTTGGAGGTGATGAAGAACTCAGTGGAGGGCAGGTAGTTGCCACAGCTGTGGCAGTAGTTGATGTTCTTCCTCAGCGTGCTCGGGTCTTGTGGCACCTGA